TGCAATTGACATGTAAATAATTTTAATTGGTTAATTGATTAAATTAAAATTAACATTTATACTTTTCATGTAAATTAATTGAAAAAAAACATAATAATTATGTTTTTAATCTATATCTTAAGTATACATGTTAAAACAACCATTAAAAAAAAATAAAAGTTGACCTTTTATTTAATGTGGCTAGGGCACGGCAACAACACTCTACCAAAGGACATTGTTTTTATATGATGAATAAGACAAGCCAGCCATTAGAAGTAACTAGGCATCACTTGAGGATGAGGATGGTGAAGGGCCGACCAATGACGGCGTGAATCATTTTGATAAGGAGACATCGATGTTTGGCAGGCAACCATATCTTGTTCGAATTTTTTGGAAAGTGATGAGTGGAAAATCAAGACTCTCATTTGGTTTTGGGGGATACTTGCTTTTCAGCCTTCAAATCGAAGATTGAAGCAAATATATTTAAGGCAATTTGGTAGGTAGAGGGAAAGAGGAGATTGTGGGCATTAATTATGAAATATTATGGTATTTTATTTTAATTAGTAATTCCTTGGATGGAGGGTTTGGTCGCTAATTAAGAAATGAACTCTTTTTATTTATCTTATTAACATTCTAGTTATAATTAGAAGGATTTACTACTAATGATTTGTAAATTTGAGAGAAGAGAATTTAGTTCTCCTTAAATAAAATTTTGAATTTGAATTTTATAAATGTAAAGACAAGTGCTTGGAAAGCTTTTTTTTTTTATGAGGTTTGATGTAATTCAATTTTAAATTAATTAAGATCTAATATAATTTTTAAATTAATTAAGATCTAATATAGTTTTTGAACAATAAAAGTTTGGCAAAAAAAAATTAAAAGGATTTACTTAGATTGGAAAATTTTAGTAGACTTAGAGATGATCATATTAAGAGATCTATTGTACCCCTATTTAAGTTTGTAATAATTTATTTTTATAAATAAAATCTATTATTCTATAAGAAATTTTAAAAAATATGCTAATTATACATTTAAATATTTAATCAATTATTGAAGACATGCGTTAAAAGGGAAGTTAGACCAAAAAAATAATAAAGAAAGGACAGGGCCCATTATTTTATAACCTCACCATACACAACACAAATGGCAATTCCACAATTCTGTACAATAATGAAAAGTTTTGACATGTGCCTTCCAAGGCACTACTTAGTAATTTATTAATTATATTGTTTTACATTTAATTTACATAAAAAAAATACATGTTGATTTTAAATTTATTAATTATTTAAGTAAAATTGTTTACGTGGTGTAGCTATTAGAAATGTGAATTTTTTAATCATGTATTTTAAGAACATAAATTGAGGTATAATTATTATATATTTTTAACATTAATTAATATTAAAAAAATATAAAAATTATTATTAATTTTACTACTAGCACTACAAAAATCATTTTAATTAAATAATGTCTTAAATAAATGTCAATTTTTATTTTTTTAATATTAATTGATATAAAAAAAATACAATAATTATACACTTATCATGTATTTTAAAAACATAAATTAAAAAAATTCTTAAAAATAATGTCTATTTTTACATTTATACCTATAAAAATTCATTGTAAATCTATATAATTAATACATGCTTAATCTAACATAAAGCAGTGTTAGAAACGTCCCGTAATGAAATTTGCTTCAATCAATTTCCAAATTTCAAGATTGGAAAATCAATAGGGAAACGGCTGGCGTGACATGGGTTGATTAGTGGAAGAACAAAGAACCGTTCCCAACGAGATTCACCATGGAAGAACAAATTAAGTACCTTCTAATTAGGGTTCATAAATTCGAAATCTATTGTCGATCAAGCTTCAAGGACCTCGTCGACGGCATCTTGGTGGCTCTGAGCTGAGCCTCGAAGAAGGGAACATTCCGGCGGTATTGATGCTGAAGGAGTTTGGCGGGGTTCTTCCTCTGACAATGGGCCAACGGAAATGGTACTTGGGCGACAGTGAAATTGGTCCATCACGGTTTGTGGGCTCATTATTGCCTAGGAAATAAATAGGAATGGTTATGGGCCGCAAACATTTTTTCTTCGTTTTAGGTTATGGGCCGTAAACATTTTTTCTTCGTTTTAGGTTATGGGCCTTAAGTTAAACTTTATTGTTACCCGCTCAGGTGTTCCACTTTCGGAAATCTCTATCTGGTGAAGTAGGGGTGAGTATATTTTGTACTTGTACTCGATAATATTTTATTTGTATGTGTAAGTATGACATTTAAATGAATTGAATTTTTGAATCTAATGATTTGTCCTCAAATTTTAGTATTTGGTTGGGTTAGTTAAGAGTTTAAATTTCACCAACTACTTGAATATTTGCACTTGACTTATGGGTTATAAGTGTTTCTCTCAACCCATGTATTGGGCCATTCCTTTCTCTTTTCTCTTAAAATTACTCTTGTTCAAAAATAAAAAAGTATGATATTTATATTATAAATAAATAATAATAGATATAAAAATAATTTATAAGTATTAAGTCAATTAATAAATATAATAGTTTAAAATTATCTATCGTATTTGTTTAATTAACTTGTTATTTATGTTTATATAATTAAAATTTTATATATACTTATTAAATTTAATATTTAATAATAATGTTAATAACTTTTAAAAATAAAAATAAAAGTTAAATAAGGCATGTAAACTAAATAAATTAGACATGTAGTAATAATAACTCGTATAAATAATAAATTTTAAATAAAAGACATAATACATATAACAATAACATTTTATAGTACACTTTCTCTTTTTTTTTTTAATCCAAATATATAAGTATATATTTATAAATTAACTAATACTTATTGAATTAAATATTAAGAATATGTGTTTAAATATTTGGATAGACTTCAAATCTAAAAATTTTTACCCAAAAATTTTAAAATTAAGTAGTTGACCTATACCCAAACAAACTGATTAAGGGATAAATAATATCATTTCTGGGCTGAATTGGGATCCAAATCTAAAATTATAAATCCAGCCCAACCACCCTCTTTCTTTTTTCTTTTTTTTTTTTTGCTGGTTGTCCTTCAGAATATTTATAATAATGTAAGGGTATGTTTAGATAAAAAATAGAGGGAAAGAAAAGGAAATAAAGAATATCATATCCTTAAATTGAACAAAGAAATTGAAAGAGAAAAATAAATGAAAAAATGAAGAAAGTAATGTCCAATATTCAATAAATGCTGGCCAAAATATATGGTATATCAAGATAGTGCAATGCCTGTCGATTTCACAAGTGCTTTTTGGAGGAGATATTTAAAACTC